GGGACAGCCAAAGAGCCGCGCAGCAGCCAACTGGAATGTATCGAACCCAGACGGAGACACTTGTTTTTCTCTTCTTTTGTCTTCTCCTGCTGCTGCTCCTGCTCCTGCTGCTCCTGCTGCTGCTGCTGCTGCTGCTGCTGGTGATGGTGCTGCTGCTGCTGCTGCTGCTGCTGCTGTTGCTGGTGGTGGTTGTGGTGTCTCCTCGGTTCTTTTTCCTCCTCTTAGATCCTGCAGCAGCTGGGGGTCGTTTGATAGATACGCCAGTATATGCAGCTCCATCTGCGAATAGTCTACAGACACAAAACGCCACGGAGACGATCCCGATCCCGATCCCCACCCCACAACTGTCTCCTCCCCCGCAGGCATAGCCAAACGAGACACGTCAGGGGGGGGCCCTGCAGCGGTGGGGGCCCCTGAAGCAATGGGGGCCCCTGACGCGGTGCGGGCCCCTGAGGCGGTGGGGGCCCCTGAGGCGGTGGGGGCCCCCAAAGGTGTGGGGGCCCCTGAAGCTGTGGGGGCCCCTGAGGCGGTGGGGGCCCCTGAGGAGACAGCTGGAGAGGAAGGAAGGAGACAGGTGGTGAGAGTATCGATGCCAGGAGACACCGGGGAGGGGACAAAGGCGCGGCTGAGGAGACAGAAAAAAATAAAAAAAAAAAAGAAAAACTGTCTCCTTTTTTTTCTTTGATCAGTTGTCTCCACTAGTAATACGGAGACAAGGAGACAGAAAAATATATAAAGAGACAATATTATAAAGTCTAATTAATGTAAGGAATTAAATCAATAGAAACCAAACAACCTACAGCAGCTGCTGCACTGGATGCATACCAGCTGCAGCAGCAGCAGCAGCAACAGCAGCAGCAACAGATAAAACATTTGCAGCAGCAGCGGCACCAGTAGCAGCAGCTGCTGCACAAGTAGCAGCACCAGCAGCAGCTACACTAGCAGCAGCAGCAGCAGTTACACCAGCAACAACGGCAGCAGCAGCAGCAGAAGTTACCCCAGCAGCAGCAGCAGCAGTTGTTCCACCACCAGCTGCAGCAGATACATCAGCAGCAGCAGCAGCAGTAGCAGTAGCAGCAGCAGCAGCAGCAGCAGCAGCAGCAGCATACCGTATCCATCTCCACTCTTCATGGTGGTTGGGTATATTCTGAAGGTTTGGGTTGCGGCAAGCAAGGCGCCCAGTTGCTGCCCCTTTATAAAAAAACAAAAAAAAAACAAAAAAAAGAAAAAGGAGACACCATTAAATAAAAAGGAGACAGTTTAATTAAAAAGGAGACAGTTTATGGGAGGAGGAGACAGTTTTAGTTTGCTCGCGTTTGTTTAGAGAGGGGTGTAAGGGGTGGGTGGGGATGGAGACAGAGAAAAGGAGACAGAGACAAAGAAATAAAAAAAGACAAACAGAGACAAAAAGAAACAAAAGAGAAAGAGAGAAAAGAGGAAAAAGAGAGAGAAGAAGTAGAGACAAAAGAGAAGAGACAAAAGAGAAAGAGACAGAAAAAGAAAAAGAGACAAAAGAGAAAGAGACAGAAAAAGAAAAAGAGACAAAAGAAAAAGAGACAGAAGAAGAATAAGAGACAAAATAAAGAGACAGAAGACAAAAATACAAAAAAAAGGAGACAGAAGACAAAGAGACAACAGAAAAGAGGACAGAACAAGGAGCAAAGACAAAGGGAAAAAAAAAAATAAAAATAAAATAAAAAAAAAAAAAAAAAAAAAAAAAAAAAAAAAAAAAAAAAAAAAAAAAAAAAAAAAAAAAAAAAAAACACACACACACACACACACACCTGTCTGCAGCAAGGAGACATGGATCCGCTGCGTGGGGGGGTAGATGTAAGAAGGAAGAGACACAAAGTAAGTGCTCACAAACTTGTGGCTAGCCCGGTAACACAACAAACAGGACAGCAACCTGCAGCAGCAGCAGCAGCAGCAGCAGCAGCAGCAGCAGGAACGGGAGAAACGGCCGCAGGAGGAGCAGCAGCAGCAACGGCACACAAAACAAAAGGGACTTAACATGTCTTCAGAAGCAGCAGCAGCAGCAGCAGCACAGATGGAGCAACATTGCTGCAGCAGAGATACAGCAGCAGCAGCAGCAGCAGCAGCAGCTCTGTTGCATATCTCCTGCAACAGCGGTATTGCAGTACCCAAAACCCTAAACCCTAAACCCGGCAGCAGCAACAGGAGAAAAGAACAGAAAAGAACAATAAAAATAAAAATAAAATATTAATTCTGAACATAAAACAAGACGACAACCTGCAGCAGCAGCAGAAGCAGCAGCAGCAGCAGCAGCAGCAACAGCAGCAGCAGACTTACGCTGCTACTCTACGGGCTCGGGGATCTGTCTCCTTAGAGCGAGCCTCACGCAGCAGCGCCTGCAAGGCTTCAGCACCAGTGGACCTGC